CTATAAAAATATTAACTAAGACTTGGACTATATTTAGATGCATCAAGTAACCTATGATATTTATAAAAATATTACTCACAGACAAATTCTGCTATCTTAACTTTGATAAGTTCAGAAAATGCTATCTAGAAACTTTAATATATTTGGGTATATTCAGCACTTAATTTGTAATACATTCAAGAATATTGTAGAAAGGCCTAGCTACATTTGGGTGTGTATATATATATATATATATATATACGCATTTGGATATATCCTCTAATTTTTGATATATTCAAAAACATTATTTATAGACTCAGCTGCATTTGGATATATCTTGTCTTTAATATTTGGCATGTTCAAATACATTATTTAAAGACTCAGCTATATTTGGTTGTATCCATTCTTTAATCTGTGGTTTATACCAAAACATCTAGAGATAAATCCTGCTATTTTCAGGATACTCAGTTTCTTCATGTACTGCAAGACAGCTTTGAATTTTTTGGAATTGAAGAGGCTGAACAGAATTCTTATTTTCTTGTTGACACTAAGACAAGTAGGATTTTTTCTGTATTTCTACCAGGTTTTACCATTTAAAATATTTGGAGTTTCAAACATTGTGATATATAAAATATGTTTATAAACTCCACAGAGATTTATGAGGAGCTGACATGTATTAAAGTTTTAATGTTTTTACGTACTATTGCAACTAAAAAGTATGTTTATTATGCTACATTGTTTTACTCATTCTTTACAAGTAGGTTATTTTAATTATAAACACAGGGCATTAGCATTCATAGCCACTTGTTACACTGTAAAGTAATAAGTTAGAATATTGTAAATGTGAAACAGCAGTAGACAACAGAACGAAAAAAAGCCTATGCTTCAGAAAAGTCATCACTTGTCTGAGAATTAGTAAATTGTCTTTCTAATCAAAGGTGTTTAATTTGCTTTTAAATAGGCATCAAGCACGAGGATTTTTCAATAATTATTGCCATAGGAAACACTATGGTGTTAATTAATTTTTAAAACTCTTACACTAGCTAATTTTTAATCCTATTAATATACATTGTTACTTAATTAAAAGACTGCTTATTTGTAGTTTCAAGTCAATTACTAGTTTTCAAAATTAAATATTCCACAAACATTGACACTAGAATACAACATCAGCTGTATACCTCTTCCAAGGCAAACACAAACAAGATGTGTACAGTAGTAATATTTAATAAATAGTCAACACTGGGGTAGCACTTTGGTTGACATATAACATTATGAATAATTGTCACCATAAACAACTTGGATATAATAAAAAAAAATAACACTTTTGGAACAAAATATTAGTACAAAGACAAATAAATTAGTTTTTACCTTTCATGTATCTTTTTCAATCTTATATACAAATCTGGCATGTTGAGAAATTTAGAAAAATAGATAAAAAGCAAAAACAATATAGCCAGTGGTGTCCAGGTTCAGTCTTGCATAGTAAAGTTCAGACTGAAAATATAAGGTCAAATGAATTCTAAGTGGTCAAAAGTTAAGCTAGGTATGTAGGTTGAAAAGAGTTGTAACACACACCTATGTTTCTGATCTCTGACTTCTGATATTGTTCGAACAACATTTCTATGGACTTTGCATGTGCTCCCTCACCATATCAATTCCTGTGCATCATTGTGTCTCTAATTGAGCAACTAACTAGCCCTACTACTCTCTGTTGCTGCTGCTGTACAACTGGTAAACATAGCTTACTCTCTGACTGCACCTCATTTATCTTCCTACCATATTGTTATCACATAGACAGCACTTGTTGCCAGTAGGAAAGAATGGGGGTTGAGACTGCAGCAGAAATTTCACACATACTTAAGCTGACACAGGATAGATTATGCCTAACCATTACATTTCACCAACTCTTCCTTTGTCTTTCTTTGGGAATTCCTTTCATTCAAAAGTTTAGTACTAGTTTTTGGCATAATTTTTAAAGTTTTCATGTGCTGACAGTACTTGTCACCCCACCGCCTAGTACACGTACAGCTTGCATTTCCATCTTTTAATAGTGCACCTTGTATACTGAAACATTGTTAAGAAGATGTTTAGAAAACTGTGTACTTATTTAAAACATTTCAGTCTGCATTACTGAAAATATTCTATCAGAACTAAGTAAAACATTGAGTACACCAAGACAAAATATTGTTACGTCTGTGTTTGTTTGTTAATTTTCCGTAGAAATTCTTTCCGAGGAACTTCAGCGATACTAGTCCTTTCTTAAATAAAACCAGTTTATTCTTTCTCAATACAACTTTGCAATACACTTAATTTCCACAGTCACTTTAACTTAAACACACGCTATAATTCACAACGATTCATGCACTTTACTTACGGTCACTACCGCGCTTGACTCAATTGTCCGTCTCTGTCTCTGCCTGTCTGCAATTCCAATTCCGATTAAATTGTCTCGCTTTATCTGGAGCTCTTATATACAGGAATAGAGGGCGTCTAGCAAATACTGAATTATTCGTGATTTTCCCCAATCCTTCTAGAAACTCATCACATGACTTCCGCTGTTGTAACAGTATGAAACCCTATAACCCAAGGGCTTCAAGGGCTTTTTTCATTAAGGGCAAACCATGTAAAATTAAGTGCGAGAAAGGGTGAAGTGATATCATGGCAGATCACCATACAACCAGGAAGAGTTTTAATTAGCTTTCAATGGATTACTGCAGGTGTGACTTATTTCTGTTGTGAAATATATCACAGGAAATGACAATGTTAAATATAAAGAGGGTAGAAAGGTTTTCTTGTAAAAGAGAAAAAATGTCAAGGGTAAAGGTATTGATTATTGATAAAGTAAAATAAATATGTGATATGAGGATAAATTAAAAAATATGTTATTTATATAGAACTAAAAAAATAAAAAACAAATGTGGAAAATTATCATAAATAAATAATAATAAGTTTTAAGAAACATTAGAGGTAAAAATAAAGAATTCAAACCACTCATAAGAAAGGGAAAAATCTTATTTTTCTACAGAGGACTAGTTAATGGTTGAACATTATTTAAAATGGCAAACAATAGGCTGCTTTCATTTCTCAATATCAGTTTTAGTTTTGAAACCAGTTTCAATACCTATAGGAATTACATCATTAATAGAATAACCGGATTGAAGTTTTGGGCAAGAGGGATGCCTTTTTTTATGTTAATAGGAAAGGTACGGTTGTTGAAATACTCTCTAAGAGTCGTTTGGGTCTGTCCTACATGCTAGCAGTTGCATTTTTTACACTATTTGAGGTAGTTGGAGTTTTGTGTTGTGCAAGTAATGTTTGTAGCAGTTTTAAAGTGTTTTTGGTTATTCTTGTCAGAAAAAAAGTGTTTTTGGTTATTCTTGTCAGAAAAAAAGTGTAATTGTTATGATATTGCAGTTTATACAACAAGCTTTATTACATGACAACCATTTGGTGGTTGGTTGTAATTGATTTTTTGCATGAACAACAGTATAGTTACGATATTTACTTTTCTGTGAGGAGATGATGAGAACGTTAGGAAAAATTATCTAAGGCAATCATTCAGTTGTAGTAGATGGAAATGTTTTTCAGATGTTTGGCTCTTGAGTATTACACTATCTAAAGATGATTTTTCATTGAGTGTTGTTATCTTTTCCACTCTGTTTGTCAACTTCAGTGTTTTTATCGTCTCTTTGTTACATGTTTAAATCCTCTGTATATTTTGTATAATTTGTTTCATCAAGCATATTTTCTTGATTTGGTGAGTTTGACCGTAGATAACATTCCATTTAGTGTGGGTGGGGTAGCAGCTTTTGTAGTGAAGGTATTGTGGTCTGTCAGTAAGTATTCTATATAAGTCAGTGTGTAAAAGTTCATCATTTAAAAAGACAATAATAGTAAGAATTACTTTGGATAGAGAAATAATCAAGGATAAACTTGATTGTTTGCTGAAAGTTGTTAGCATTAAAAAAGTATTTAAGTGATTCAGAACTGGCTGTTAAAATGAAAAATATGTTATTTATGTAATGTGTCCAAGTGTGAGGTGTTTAAAGGGCTTTACTGTAAGAGCTAGAAATATATGTCCCTCGCTGCTCGTAGAATTGGCATACACTTCCAAGGTAAAAAGGTGGAAATCTAGCAAGTGCAGGGCAGCATGCTTTGTAGAGTTCTCACCAATCAGCTAGATTATGAGAGGAATTCTGTCGGAACATCAAGTGATGTTTCTCATCAGAAAAGTCAGTAGTACAGAAGACAAGGGTTGAAATACTCTTTCAGTCACTAATTTTCCAATACATGACTGTCCTAGCTTATGAAGTAAATCAAATGGAAATCACAAAATATAGAGTTTACATTATACCATGAAATATTATCTGACAATTCAGAATGCAAGGGTAGTAAAGCCATTTCAGCTGAGTTTCAAACTTCTAGCTACCATCTTCAGTTGTGTAAACTTTTGGTGTATGAGAAACTATATTCGCTCGAATCATTTGTCTTAACTTCTGATGATCAAGTAATAACCATATGAGGTAGTGAATACTGGTATTTTACATCACCATTTGCGGCTCAGAAAGCAGGCCTCTCCCTTCTTGGTTATCGGTCTGAGACACAAACAATGTCATAAGTGCAGGGAAATAAATATTAATAGGGACTGTGACACCTATATGGGTATTTAGTTCCTGGTCTAGAGTGGCAGGGCAATGAATTGCTTATGGTAACTCATTATACAGCCCCCAGGTTTCATTGCAAACCATGATCATTATTGCAGGACACCTTCTGGTTTGAAGAGGCTCACTACTGCACAATAGTTTATGGTCTTCACTCATGAGTGCTCACTGTGTCACCTGTTAGGGAAATGTCTCTGACTAGCAGAGGTCACTTGCCAGTGACACTTTCAATTCTCCTTGGATGGTAATAGGTAGTTTTGACTAGAACTGTGGCTGTGATACTCTGTGGCTGCTGACAGCCTGGGAGTCCTACAGAGGCCTCCCTAAATGATTTCCAAATCACCAGGTACCACTTCATCGTGACAATCCTCATTTGTATTTGCTTCCACTGTATCAAGATCAATCTTCATGGGCAAGGTTTGATCTACTGGTCTTGGTGCATCGAACATCAGCTGATCATCCTGGGTCAGTCTGTAGTCGTGGGTTAATCAATGTCAGCAACCTTTTCAGCATCAAGTGAAAGTCGTCTGGATTCAACACCTCTCATACAACCATCTCTCTCTCCAGCGACAGACTTTTCCACTTTGTTAAAAGTACTTCAATTTTGAGAATATGCCATTATTTAAGTGAAAGCATTTCTTAAGTTTTTCTAAACTCAAGAGATGAAGAAGGACTGATATGTACATTAGAAAAATTCTGCAATAAATCCTGTTGTCATGGCATCAGAATTTTTCCTTCCTACCTACTCTTTAGTATTCTCAGGTTAAACTGAATTTCACAAAATATTAGATAAGTTCTCTTTATAATGATAGGTCAATTAGGAAAATTATGAAGTAAATGTGGATTTAGCTAAACAGTTGAGTTTTAAGCAAAGAAAATAAACAAACTGGGCACA